AAATTGCAGCTTATACTTCAAATAGCAATGTTTGAGGGTTTTTTTCAGTCTGTGGGCCCAACTTCACCTTGGGAAAATAGTTTAAAGTGGTATTTTGTTTTTTTTTTTTATGTTATAAAACAAGTGGATAACACCATAGCATACACTATTGAGTTATGTATACACGTGGGAAGTAGCTATGCTCAAAAGAAGGATTAAAGTCACTCAAGGTGATAACAGATATTGACTCTAGCTTCTTGAGTGCTTTATTTTGTACTGTTATTTACTTGTACTTCAGAGGGTTTTTGTCAACTAGTTATTGCTGGCAAGTTATTGACTTGTTTGCTTTTTTAAAAACATATTTTTAGATAATGGCAGAAGAGTTTAGCCACACTGTAATTCATCGTAAGCCTCTGGGTGTACTTGGCCAGCAAAGGGTAGTACCCAAACCTGTAAATAAACCTGCTCCAGGTCAGTTGCTTTAATGCTGCAGTTTGAAGACATGATGTCAAACTCTACCATACCTGTCCTGCTTTTATGTGTTATCTGTAAACTTATGGATGACTGTATCATAGAATTTTATTAATAGTTATATCCAGTGCAAGGAACTTGTAGTTATTGGTTCACTCTTCTGTTGACATGTTGTGTTTCATCACATATCCGGAATATTTTCAGTGCCACAAAAGTACAGTAACCCGAAAGCCAAGTATGGAGTTTCTGTCGCAAAAAAGAAGCCTCCAGTTAAGTAAGAATTAATTAAAATTCAAACTTTACTTTGAGCATTATTTTAACTTATTTTCTAGTCATACAAACTTTGAAAATGCATTGTTTTGTCTTCAGGAAACCTGGCTCTGGAGAAGCTGCAAAGAAACCACCTTCCAGACCAAGCAATGCTGCACAAGAGAAACCTGTTGACAAGAAAAAAGAGCCAGATGCTCGTGAAAGAAGACGCAAGGACATGATGCAGAATCAGGTAAGGTTAAATATTGTGCTAGATCTTGAAATGTGGTACCCAACAATAACAGATAATTTAATTACGTAGAGGTTAAACCTTCCCGAAGATATTCGTTAGCAAAGGCACTTGAGTCCAAAATGGCGGGGTGACTGTGCTACTCATCTTTAGAAATTTCTCTGTTGTTCAGCTCTGAAATTATACTAGAACAATTATTTGCCTCAGGTTCGATGAATATTGTCAAATAATTGTTAAATATCAATTTTCAGGTGACTTGTATAAAAAGATTAATGGCCAACGGGGAATGCAGCTGCCTGAAGACCAGGTAGGAAATTAATGTACATGTACTTTGAAATGTTCTCCTGAATAATTACCATGTCTGCAGGGAAGTTTTTTGCTGGTTCTACAGATTTAATTCAATTTTATTTTATTACAGGTTTTAGACTACTTTGTACAGATATGCCTTGGGTTGAAACATGTACATGATAGGAAAATCCTTCACAGGGATTTAAAATCACAGGTTTGTGATAAATATCAATTAATTTTGGAATGATTAACGTGCAAACAAATCTGATATTTCTGTTTACCAGCATTTGACACCTGAAAATCCTAAACTTGCTGTTTAAGTGTTGTTCACTCAGTGTTTTACCTTACAGAACATATTTTTAACAAAGAATGGAATAGTCAAGCTTGGAGATTTTGGAATTGCAAGGGTTTTACACAGGTGACAAGGATTTTTTAGGTTATGTAGCAAATTGTAATGTTTATATATCACTTAGAGTGAGATGCTTATAGTTTATGTGTGGTAAACATCTGCAAATGCACAAAATTTCCTCTCCCACTTTTCGTCTTATTTTTCTTTCACTCTTTCTTTTTTTTTTTCTGTCAAATATTTTCTGATCTGAGTTTTCTGAAAGGTGACTTCAAAATAAAGTGAGTTTGGCTTTCAAGGATCCTTTTTTTTTGTTTCTTTTTCAGCACCATGGAACTTGCACGTACCTGTATTGGTACACCATATTATTTGTCCCCAGAAATCTGTGAAAACAAACCTTACAATAATAAAAGGTGAGCTTGTGTTTAATTTTCCTATAACAGTAGATGTAGTCAAAGTGTACTGCTTGAGTAGTATCATTGTCATTTTGACAGTTTAAGTAATAATAATATTACTATTACAAGTATTGATTCAGTTTTTACTTATTTCAAAATTTTCATGTAGTGATATCTGGTCGCTTGGATGTGTTCTCTATGAATTGTTGACCCTCAAACATGCTGTGAGTATTTTCTTCATTCTTCCCTTTATGATATGTTTGACTTACAGTATTTTTCTTCAATGGTTTTGCCTGGAAAAATTACAAAAACTTTCTCATTCAATACTGGTGATTTTAATTGCAGTTTGAAGCAGGAAATATGAAGAATTTGGTTTTAAAAATAATAAGGTATGGAATTGGTCAAGGTATGAAAAATTTTTCATGCTGTTGCAAATAGTACTTCGCTCACATCCATATATCACAATTCTCTTCTCTCTACTTTCCAGTCTGGTCTGCCTGTATTTGATTATTATGTCCTGTTTTAACTCACTAGTAATTTTATTATATTTAATTTGTATGACAACTGTACATATTTTTTAGCTTATAATGTAGTAAACTAATGCATGGCTTATAACCCCAATAATATTATAGTAATGAAATCTCTTTAGTTATTTGTAAAATCTCTTTAGTTTATTGTCATAGTGGTAACCAAACTTCTTTAGCTTGCAATGTGTAGTATTTACTTATTTATTTCTAATACCTGCCAAGACTAGCTAATGCTATATGCGTGTTGTGTAAATTTGCTTGTAATGTTCTGTAAAGTAATAGTAAACAACAACAACANGATTACCTTTTCATTCTTTTATCAGTTTTGCATCATTCATTAATCCATTCCTATGAATCCCTGTCCATATCAAAATTTCTATCAAAGCCATCCATGAAAAATTCAATTCATCAGAAACAATAATATTTAAGACAAATCTGTTGTTTACAGGAGTGCAATATTGAAGCATGCCTCTATAAACTTCAAGACAAATGTCTTCAATCCTGTTTTGTTCTAAATACCTGTGTACAATTGATTGACTTGCTTCTTCTTATGCAAGATACTCTCTCCTCTGTGGTATGACTGCATATTTCAGTCAAATTTAAAATACATGTAAAATGTCTGAAATATTTAAATTAAAGGACTGGTGTTAAGTTTAAAACTTTTGATGCCCTTTCACAGTCTAGTTTGGCATTGCATCAGGCATTTCCTTAATTTGCTTCCTGTATTGGTGCTCATTAAATGTAAAAAGACAAAGTAAATAAATATCTTAACTGGCAAAGAAATGAATAGGTGAACACATTTTTTTAAGTTACAAATGATCAAGTTCACATTAAGTAGTTTAAAATTGTTTTGTATTTCTAATGGAGCATAAAAATTCTTATGTTAAACAGTTAATTTGGCAGTCTACTTATTTATTGAATGCCAAATCTTTAGAAAGTAAACATAACAACTGCATGAAGTTGGCAAAAACTTATAAAAACTGTTTGTTTTGTAGAAAGTGAAAAAGCCTGCGGCTCCATTTGCTGGTGTAAAACCAAGTCAACCAAATGTCGTTGTGAGTACCGTGTAATTTTTAGCTTACTTGATAAATAGGCAATGATAATTAGAATTTTTCTCAACATTGCCTTGGATAATTATGATAGATGATAACTTGTTTTTTTTTTTAATTTAGAACAAGCAGCCACAGGCAATGCATAAATATCAAGAAAAGGCTGGAGACAAGGAATCCAAAGAGAACAAACCAGCAAGACCCTATTCAGCAGACAATCGGAACAGACAACCAAATGCAGCAATCAAAGGTGCTGGGCGACCTGAGTCTGCTAACGACGCTAACAGAGCACCAGCAGCCAACCCTGTCAGCCTGGCATGGAATGCAGCCAAACAAGGACAGGCAGATAGGTGGGTGAAGAAAAAAGGGCTAGGGTGCGCCTCAAGTAACAAAAAAATGTGCAAAAGCTCCGTCACGGTGACAGAACAGAATTGCGGAAAATCCAGTGGGGAACGGGAGGTCTTGACTCATCAAAGACTGAGTCGTGCTACATGTGCACGTATATTGTACAGAGCACGCGGAGAAGTCGCCTGTCTAGGTGATAGGTGTTTAAAAAATCTAACCACGCGATCCATTGATTAGCAGGTTACATATTGGAGAGCGGTACACACTTTGAACAGCTGTTGTCAGGTTTGCGATAGTCAAGTGTTCTATCAGCCTTCACACAGGAGCTGTATGGGTGACATAGTAAGAGAAGGAAAGACTATTAAAGCCTGGTTTTTTTTTTTTTTTTTATTTTATGTTATGTTGAATAGAGCTCAAGGGGCTGGGGCGGCAGAGCGAGCGCGTGTCGTGGAAGAATTCTGGAACAGAAAGAGAGATGCACAAAGAAACAGAGCTAGGGGACAGGTGAGATGGCTTAGAGGAAAAGAATAGAATACTTGAGGGTGGAAGACGAGCTTTAAATTTAGTAACAGCGAATTGTCCGTTTTGAAAACCTCGATTGTACAGTGTTTTTTTTCTTAACACATTTCTTTCTTCCCTTCATAGAATTTTAATGTACTCCCCGATCACTACCCGCCAGGTTAGTTTGAAAAATACTGAACACGTACTACTGTGCTTTGTAAAATTTGCTCGGTCTCAGATACTCATTACGGAGTTGTTGAATACTTCTTTTTATAGGTAACGTTGCTCAGAAGAAAGATGGTCTGTCTGCCAAGGACGCAAAGGAAAAGGTTTGTATTGAAAATATTCATGAAAATTTGAAAAGTTTTGATATGTAAAGTTTTTGTTCTGCTGTAGCATTTGCATATTAGGTCTGCAATTGCTGAGACGCCTTTCGACAGCAGCGGTTTGTAAATTACGAAGGGTAAAACATTCTGGTAGAAACATGCTGTGAATTTCAGTGCAGTGAACTTTTTCTTACTCTCTTTAGGAATATCTTTCACGTCTGGAAGCTATTCGGCGCCAAAACTTTCATGAACGAAAAGAATTACAAAGAAGAATGGCAGGAGTGCGAGCGCCAGTGGAGGTACCACCGGCGCAGGTCAGCCATGGAGTGTTAGTGATTGTGGCTATTGTCTTTGCTGAGAACAGCTATTAACAAAAGGTTTTTTTATTCACAGAAAGAGAACGTAATGATTCCAGGAGACCCACGTTATGATCCTGCCGCTAGGAAGAAGAAAATCGCTGATCTCAAGGTAAAAATCAGCCCACTGTTTCAAAGCCATGGACACATTTGGAAGGTTTCCTTGCACGCGCCAAGCGCGCTTGAAACAGGTTGTTTTCCAAGTTGTTTTATAGCTCTTCTATATTCATTGTATGAAACCGACCGATCACATGACATCTCTGTCTTTTCTCGAGTTTTAAGTGTCTTTTGACTGGCCTTATTTCTATTTTTCTCCTGTTTATCTTAAGGCTCAAGCAGAGGATCAACTTGAACAGAGAAAGAAAACGATTCTAGCGAGAATCAATAAAGAAGGCAAAGAAAGACTGGAGAAGGTTTGTATTTTCCTACATCACTGTTTATGGTTCCTTGTGTTAAACTGCTAATGTGAGAATCTTTACTTATTTATTTATTTTTTTGCAGGAAAGCCAAAGACAAGATCCTGATAAGAGGTATGATTCGCATGTGTTGAGCGACTTTACTTTGATTTATCATAATTCGTTTAATTTCAGATCATCTTGTAACAAACACGAAGATTGATAAAGTTCGTTGCGATAGTGCACTGAGGATTTTAGTGACTAATGTTAAAAAAAATTCCACCTTATACATGAACTCGAGTGAAACGCCATAATCTTCATTCTTTCCCTGTGATGCTCTTCCCCAGGCCGCTTCCTGCTTTAGCAAAATATGAAAGACCAGCAGGTATGATTCCATTATTATAACTCTGATAATTCTTGTTTTGTATTTCCTCTATGTGTATGTATGTATGTATGTAATCTGGTTCTGTAACAGTTAAAAGTTCGTGTCTAAGCTAAATGGATTAAATTGTCACAGAGCCCGCGCCAAAGCCAGCGGTTGCCCCTGTGGGTCTTGAGACAGCTTTGAAAGAAGTAGGAGCCACAAAGCTGTTCAGATCGAATTCAGAGGTAAATCACCAAGTCTTTTGCCAGGATTTTATTGTCCAATTGCAACTGACTTTTGTAACCTGTTACTTTTTTCTTTACTTATTATTTCAGAATGATCTTCGTAAGATGACAGAAGAAGACAAGATTGAGCCTCTTGCACCGCGAAGGGCCTGGGGAGATATTCCTTTCCAACCACGTGTCCTACCATTAGAGGTGACATCATCGGCAATGGAAGGTGAGAAAAAATGCTGCAGACCTGCCTGTCGACTGGAGGGTCGTTACAACAGCTTAGTTCCTTCCTCTGCTCTTAGGGGCATGAGTTCACTCGGGGTAATGAGGTTACAGCCGCCTGTACCACTGTTCTCTTTGGCACTGGGTGGGAGCAAGGCCAATTGCTGATGATCATCTAAGTGTTTCACCCGCCCTCTGACGTACAAATTAATAAATGAAGGTGCATGAGGCTCATATCATTCCCTTCTTTCTTACTTTTCTAGCAACCTGTGCTGGTGATGCAGTAATGAAACCAGCAGCGGATGCCGCTAGGAAGCAATGGGGCAAACCACAAATGACACAAATCATCTCGGCTTTGGGAAACGCCAAGCTCCAAACTGCTACAACAGCCATAGAAGGAGGTGATGAACAAGATGCGTTAAAGAAGGCTCAACCAGCTGTTGTCATTCAATCACCTGCTGGCACTTCAGTCTCTGCAATGGGCACAACTGTCACGCTACAAAGCCCCTCTGTCACGGTACAAAGCCCCTCTGTGCCTCCCTCGTTAGGAGTGACGGTGGTGAAGTCGCCCACCACAGAGTCCCCAAAAACTGTTATTGTCACAAAGGATAAGAGCGAGGAAGTGACTGAGGCAGTGAGTTCGAAAGGAGGGGCAACAATTACTATATCTGGAAAGACAGAAGATGAACTTAAAAAATCTCCTGTACTGGACACGATCTCCGAGGGAATCAAAGAGGATGACATCAGCACAGATAACGGTACTGTAAAAGCGGAGAATGCAGATGATTTGAATTTAGAAGAAGTGGAATGTATCACCGAGAAAAAGGGCCCCGAAGCCTCGCCCGAAAAACCCACACCAGTTAGTCCTGTGAAGGCCTGGGGAGAGGAAAAGGCCACTACACCGACTGATGGTAGGTTGCAGACCCCCAATTCAAACAACCGATTTTCTTGTCATTTTAAACCTTGTCAGTAATTGAGTAATTTTGTACACAGTAAGTATTTAGTTTAATACAGGTATTACCTGAATAAGTGACTAATCCAAGTTGCTGTCTAATTTCGCTTATGTTTAAGGTGCTTCCATACAAAAATCTTCCCGCAGTGCCTGGGTAGACGATGATAAGAGAGCTGCCTATCAACAGTTCTTGATGGCGTCACGCGAGCAAGCTGGCGCAGAATCCGAGTCACGCAATGAATCACACGGTAAAGAATCTGCGTCACACACCCAAGACGAGCAGGAACCAGAAGAAGCTCTGTTTAAACGAGTTGATCGAAAAGAGAAAAAGAAGGAAACAGGATCAGAGGATCTTGAAGTGCAAGACATTTCACTTGATGACTCGTAAGTTTACAATATTCAGCTTACAGTTTAGTCATATTTTCAAGTGTTAAGACTGGATGATTTTCTGTGCAATAAAGAGCACATTTCTTATTGAAAGTTCGGAATCCATTGGACATCTCAGCATTTTAACTGTTTCACATAACTGTGTGTTTGAATTTAGATCATTCCACACGGCTGATGGGTCTCTAAACAGGTCAATGCGGGCTGCAGAGCTACAAACAGGAATTTATGATACGAATTTTACAGTAAGTAATTAAAACTTATATCTTAGGCCCGTAATCAATCTCTTAAGGTCGGCACACACGAGGGGACTAGTCCCTGCGACTAGTCCCAGCGACCAGTTTCATGCGACTAGTCCCTTCGTGTGAACTACACATTTCTGTGGTCGCNTTTCGTGTAACGCACCAGACTAAGAAACATCTTTTGCCTCTTAATTTTCCTATGTTCTTGTGTAATTGAGTGCCCTCGTGTGAACACCTTAAGGGACTAGTCCCTGCTACCGGTCCCCTCGTGTAAACCCTTCAGAGACGCCGGGACTAGTCGCACGGACTAGTCTCAGGGACTAGTCCCCTCGTGTGTGCCGACCTTTACACTTCTCAGTGCAGCACTTTTTTCGTATTATGCCTCTGTAATGCTGGTTGTTGTGTACAGTTGTAGTAGAACTTACACGATTGGCAACATATGTGCTTACATTTTCGCAGAGGCTACGAACTTGCTCTCTACCTGACCTGAGGATGTTGTTTAAGACCGTTACCCCCGGACATATACAGACTCCAGAAGAGGAGCAGGGGCAGGTAGATGAGGATGAACACGATGACGAAGAGGAAAATGCTGACGAGGAAGAAGACTTGGAGGGGGATGAAGAAGTTGATAGAGGAAATGGAGAGCTTGACGATGATGATGATGACGACGACGACGATGATGATGATGATGACGACGACGATGATGATGATGACGACGACGATGATGATGACGACAAGGATGATAACGAGGGCGATGACGATGACGTAGAAGAAGAGTTAAATTTTGGCAGGTTTGTGCACATGAAAAGAAAATGTATCTCAATGCACTTGCAGGGTTCCCAAAACAATTTTAGAAGCCTTACCGTAGCGTTCTTTTTTAAAGAACGTGAGGTTACGAATATATTATTTATTGCTCGGTTTTTGATGACCTCTACCTTATATTTTGAAAATATAATTTTAGGGTGTATGATTTCGCCTATTGGCTTTTTGAACGTGGCTTGATAATGATGCACGAACTTTTGAGGATTTAGCATCCTGTAACAATTAAATTGGAGGGAGCCACTATTTTCGTTGCTTTTAGTCTTATAGTTTACACAAGAGTCGAAACGTGTAATTCTTGCTGTCTTTTCTAACTCAGTCATTTGTTTTGGTCTTTCCTCAGCGAGGAAGATGAAAGTGAAGAATTTGAAGATATGTTGAATTCCATGAGAGACGTACTTGTGAGCACAGGCAAGATACATAATGTCATGTAATGCAATGTAATGCAATGCAATGCAATGGAATGCAATGTCATGTAATGTAATGTAATGTAATGCAATGTAATGCAATGCAATGCAATGCAATTCAACGCAACGCAATGCAATGGAATGCAATGCAATGCAATGCAATGCAATGGAATGCAATATAATGCAATATAATGCAATGTAATGCAGTGTAATGTACTGTAATGTCATTTCTATTATGTCTTCATTTTATTATTAGTCTTCTACTCCTCTAATCGATCACTTGACTCTCGTTATATAACTTCTCTCCAGGACGATCTCCTTCACCGGTCAAGAGCATGCATGGAACTGCAAACAGTTTGGATTGGGATCACTGCGCGGACACACAGTCTCCAAAAGGTGAAGTTTTCAACTACTCGTCCCCCCTTTATTTGCGTGTTGTTTTTTTTAAAGTATAAAATGTTCCTTAGTCATTTGCTTCACAGTTCTTCACCGACTAAGAGCCCCTGGATCTTGCCGGAGTAGGTTACATGGAAACTTAACTTCGTTTCCAAGCTATTTTTCTATCCAAGGAGGAGAGATAAGCCTGGGAGCAAGGTTTCCTTGAATTGTCGTGTTCCATGAGACCTCTGTAGCACTGGCGAAGCATCAACATGTGCGCATCCGATAACATTACCGAATAAGGAACAGTCACAAAGAAATGACTGTGGTTAATATCCCTTTTCTCATTGTGTGAGTTTGGAGAGGGGGGGGGTGGGGCGGCTATGGCTCTTCAATGTCAAATGAAAACCAACCACTCTTTGAAAAGCTGATTCGTGATTTTATTCATACAAGTACTTGTTATCTATTTCTTTTAAAAGACGACGAAGGCGACGGAGTGGGACTAGAACGATCGTCATCTGAATTATCCAATCTGAACGAGGACTGGGACTCAGGTACGGAGGATGAAATCAAAATTCTTTGATATGAAAACAGAACTAATGTATAGATTGGAAGACAAAGAATATCAAATATTTGTTGCTCTCCAATCTTTCTCTGTTCCTCTATATCACCTGACTCAGTTGTCGCGTGATGCCTGCTGGTTGTTTAGCATGACGGTATCAAGCGTCATGTGCAAGAGAGTTAAGTTGTGTGTTAAACTCTAAATCGCGACTCATAGTTATTATAATCAGGTGATGATGACGATGAAGAAGACTCAACCAGGCAGGAGGCTCGAGAGAAGAAGCGTCAGGAGGAAGACGAGAGTTTGTTTCAAAGACTGGAGGAGTGGCGGCTAATGCTTGAGCAGGAATTGGGAATTAACAAATTTCTACGCGTCTACAAGTTTCTCCAGGTACAAAAATGTTCCCATTGATGACAAGAGATAAAGAGAACCTGTAAATCTCGTGCATAGTAGTGTTCTCAGTTTTAAATTTTCAGTTTCAGTGTTGAAAATATTGTGGTTTTTGTTATTTCGTCCTCTCTCGGCGTTTCCAGCAGTTACTCACCTTGGTTCCACATGCTATTTTCAGTCTTTCACATCGATCTTCGAGTATTATTTTGATTGTATGTTTGTTTCTCAACAGTCTGTCCAAGAAAATGAAGACGATAGCGCGGAAATCGGCACTGCTGGTGAGATCAGTGAACTGCTGGGAGACAAAGAACATCTGTATCCCAAGATACTTTACCTTGTCATAGCAGACTCAGCATACACTGAAGGTATAACAACCACCACCATTTGATCTTAACCTCCATTTAGTATTCTACATGATCTTAAGGCCTCTTCCCGAACAATGCCCCGCCTCAGGCAAAACATCAGGATATTTCTATCCGCACTGCTATGAATTGTAAGGAATTCTGCGCTTTCTTCCTCCCTTATTTACAGGGATTTTTATCTTTTTACACTGGCTTGATCACTTCGATGTATTTTCATTTGCAGATAATCAGTGAAGCACGACTGCTGCCATCATCGATAAATTATTTTTTTATCACCGGGTGAAAAGAACGTGGACAATGTTTAAGATCAAAATTCACTTTTATGAAAGAATCCAGATTGTATAGTGTATAATAAGAGGTACGTTAACATTGATTGGTGGTAGATCTTCTCTTATTGTCCATGGGATAGTTCCGCCTTTGTTGTTATCCTGAGTGGCACTAACAAGCAATAAAGCGATCAAAATATGTCAATTTAAAGCAAAAAGTTGATCGTCCGGTTGTGAGTAGAGTAGTAAGATACAAAAGGTAGGCGCTCTAACACAAAATCTACTTCACATTTACTTTGCCTTTGGCTCCGATTAAAACTATCAATAGATATGAAAAAGAACCAAAATAATCACTGCCAATTGTCTCTTTGACTTCAGTGATATCTTATATCAGTGTAGATACGAAAACTTTAATTTGAATTGCAAATTTTTTGTATCTAAAGATTTTGATTATAATAGTAGTTTTTTTTGGGTCACAAATCATAAGTTACGCAGGCGTAATTTGTTATCCATTGAATTTCGCTTGGATTGAATTCAACAACGAGTTGGAGCGGTTCCATGTTTTAACGCGTGGTTTTGTTACCTTGATGAATTGGTTCATTTTTGTCATGTTTAGGGAAAGTTTTTTTTGAAAAGTGAGGTTTCAATCAGGGTGTGGCGAGACACAAGGGTATCTTTCTCGGAAATGTCTGTGTTCCGGCTATAGTTTATGAAGTCGTTCTCTACTTACGAACTGGAAGATTGGCAAGTTATTACTTCCTAGATCTGTAATATATAGTGATAGCCTTTTCTGAGCACTCGGTTACAAGCTAGAAAAAGCGAACAAGGGAGAAAAAGTGGGGTTGTTTCCTTTGTATCCTGACAGACAGCTCCACATAGGCTGATATCATTAAACTAGTGTGATAATAAAAGTTGGCAATGTACTTCCACTAAAGTTTCCCTTCTCTCTTTAATTTTAATTTTTTTAAAATTTCTATTAACGCTAGACACATTTTCTGGACTTTGGTTTGACTTTTTGTTTGTTGCGAAAAGCGGTATTCGATGGTTGGCGACAAAGGAAAAATAAGGGGACGCGTTTTTTAATCCTTTTCTCAAGGGTTTGACTACTTCCAATAAACTACTGCCGCGTTAGCTTACATTTAAGTGACGGTAACTTCCTTTTCGTTTACCTCAGTGACATGTTTTGACTCGAGTCAAGGAGTGAATAAAATAAAAAATATCGGAATGGTCTAGCAAGATTTAGTGTGGTGGCATCACAGATCTGGCAAACGATACCTATTAAAATAAAGTGTCTCCCTGCCAAAAGCTTTAAAAAAGAATATAAACTCTTCCTACTTGGCAGGCAGACATCTTGAACAACTTTAACCTATCATAGAGCTCTATTTTACTATTTTAACTATTTAGTATATGTGCTATCTCCTTAAGTGTATTTCACTTCCACCCATCAGTAACTGCTCTGTGGTAGTGGCCAACTCGAAAGCTTGGCTCCTTTGGCTACCACACACTTTCCACTGCTTCGTGTAAATTGATGTATAGTTAGAACTCCTTTTTTTTTCTACTTTTTCTCTTACTCGTTGTTGTATTTTTAGTAGAATAAGTGTGGATAAAAGAATGAATGAATGAGTGAAAAAGGGGGTAAGTTTCTAAAGAAATAGTGGTGCTGCGTCGATGGGGGTAACAAGGTAATTTGGTTATATCAAATACGTTGAAATTGTAAGCTGACGTTTCGAGCGTTAGACCTTCAGAGCGAATGACGAAGGGCTAACGCTCGAAACGTCAGCTTTTTAACTCTACGGTGGCCAATTTACAATTTCAACTTAGTTGATATAACCAAATTATCAAGGAGTGAAAGCTAAGGGTGCAGGTTGACCTCAGATTCCGAATCGGAGGCCAACTTACCAAGTGTACTGAAGTAGTTTCTTAACACCCCGCTAAAGAACCTAATAAAATACCCCCGTAACATTTCAATGTCTCCCAATCTCAATTTAAAATTTTTTTGAAAGTTACGATTTTTCTCTCCTACATCACTGCTGTGGACATTGATTTTTAGTTTCGCCCTTCTTCACATTGATAACAACAGGAGCAGTTTTCTGTCCTTTCACAGTGATCGAGGACATCTGTTCTGAGCCGCTCACCTGTGAAATACAAAGCGAAACATTACAAACAACGCTGTTAGTGATAAAGGGGGACAAAAAAAAAAAAAAAAAAAAAAAACCCATCCTGTCGTTAATCATGTTATGTTATTGCGTCAAGACTCACTACTGGCATTCACATCATTTATGCATGTACGAGATCTCGCAACGGAGTGATAACTATTGAGAAACACCAGCTATATCGGCGTGCGGTAATTTACACTAAAGGCATCAGAATAACACTTCACTCGGACTGTTATCATCATGATGTAAGCTTACCTCAGGCTGAGAATTTTCTTTCAGGAGCTCTCCACAAGCCGGTGCGTTGTCATCCATGCTTTGAGTTTCTGATAAATCGATGTCGTCCGTCGCAGTCTGAAAGCGCACCTTTGGCTTCCTTTGAAATTCTACTTTAGTTTTGGCCTCATTTTCAACTCCTTTAGTTGATAAAGGCAGTTTCCATGGCACGTTGCTGCTGAGCCAATTTTCCGCAGTATATTCAGCTTGGAAAGTAGAAGTCATATCACTGTCTTGTTCTTTATCAGATGATGGGTGAGGAGTTTTAACCAGAACAACAGGAGGTTTTACAATTGAGGGCTCTTGTTTCGCCACCTTTGTTTTAAATGATACGGTATTTTCTTGTCCTTTCTTTATGGGTACTGTTGGTCTGGTACTTGTTGATTTGGCCCCACTTAGCACAATGGCGGACTTTGTTTTCCTGAGACCCGATGAGTTCGAGGTTTCAGAGATATTTTGCGGGTCTTTTTGGGAATCTTGAAATAAGAGGGGAAAAAAAGAGAAAAGAGTAATTATTAAGCGAGTAACGTCAGTGTGAATAGTTGACCTTCGCTGGTCACCTAAGACCAGAGCAGCATTAAAATATTTCCCCTGATTTTTCCCCTCTTGTTGTAATGGGAGAAGTTCCCCCTCTCTTTCCCCTTTTTTTTCTTTCACATTTTCTTCTCTACTTTCCTTGACTTACTCCTGAAATGAATCCTAAAAAATTCTTAGATAGCAAACGTGACTTGAATCTCCAGGTAGCTAGAAACCCAGCTTTTCTTTTTGGCGGCAATACTTACGGTTCTGCAGCTTAATACGCATGTCATCAATTTTCAGCCTTAGCTTGATATTTTCACCGTTCAGTCTCTCGACGTTTGACTCGGACACATGCAGTTGATGTTGAGTGTGGCGAAGTCTGTCAGTTTCGGATAACTGAAGCAGTGTTTTTGTTTGCAGTTCTTTATTTAGTGCTGCCAGGGCTTTCCTAAAGATGGGAAATGCGGCCTAAAATTAGCATAGCGTAAAAAGAGTTTCCCTCGACTTTGCGGGAATATGATGATCATCCTCGCTAGTTGAGAGGTAAAAGAGAGAGAGACCCCAGGGAAAAAGGAGTACAGAGGCCATATTATCCCCAGTAGTCTGGTATCTGTGCAAGACTTAAAAACAAAATACTGATTATTCCCTAATCAATGCGAATGATAGTATTTGGTATGTGTACGTCGATAAATCTTCAAGGTAAGGAATTTCGGTGGAGTTTAACGTAACAAATTCCGTTCTTAGATTGGTGGGTGCCCATTGAGGTTGTCAGAATATTCGAGATCTTTGAGTGGAGATTAGGACGCTCTTCAGCTTCACTCATGCGGCTGTCTTGTGGTAGGACTGGGGTCAAGGTTTTAAGATGCAAAGTGCAGGGCAAGTGACCCACAAGCTTACTTGGAGTCTTCAAGCTGTAACTGAAGAAAGTTCACATAGTCTTTCTTGTCTCCAAACTCAGAGAAAGCGTCGTGAAACTCCATCAAACGGCTGCTTATGTTGCTCTCTTCCTGAATGAAGAACGTAAGACCAGGGTAGAATACGATTAGTGTGTACTTTTGACTGAGTTTCTGAAACCAGAACCAACGTAACCACAACGGCAAATCTGGAAAAAGGTTAAAACTACAAGGAGCCGGTGAGCTTTCAAAATAACCACGTGATAAACGCATGACTAACCCATGATTATCGTTTTGACCAATCACAGAGCCATAATTTTCCAGGGCGACTGATACCAAACGCCAGAAGCTAAGGGAGATAGAGCGAGTGAGGATTCTCTGCTAATGCAAAGTTTATTGAACAAAGAGGAGGGACCTTGTGATTGTTTAAATATGGTGCTAAAGAAAGTGTACCTTCTCCTTCTCCAGACTCGATATCTTTGTGTTCAACATCTTCACCTCGCCTTCTTTTTGCACCAACGCTTGGGTGAGCCTTTGAATCTGTGAGGCGTCTGCATGACAGCTCTTTACCTGGAGCAGAGTAGCCACTTGATTCTGAAAGAAACAAATTTTGCGTTTCCTGGTTTTCTTTTCACCCTATCTTCGAATAAATTAATATCACTAGTAAAACAGCGCTAGCTTGTGCTGCAATGACGTTCCTGTCAAAAGAACTTTACCTTCAGTCTCTGTAGATGTTGTTTCGTCATATTGTGCACTTTCATCATACCCTCGTGTCGAGCTCGTAGACTGCCATATTTCTTCTCAAGTTCCAATCGCTGATCTTCCACCTGTTAGCAGTTATAATTATTCAAGACAATTTAAAACCTTGATTCACCAGTAAGTGGTAATGACTAAAGAACAGCTGAGATTACATAAAGCCACGACATACCTCTCCAAAAAGAGAATTTCCTTGTTTTCCAAAGTTTCTCCTTGCGTTGTCTGCTTTAAGGCTTTCAAGTTCAGCTTTTATTTCGCCTGCTTCGCTGCGAGCTTCCTGTTAAAATTATGCAAAATGCCATCTTTCTTATTCTACTTACGAGGTTTTCGTCATAGCTCATTCCCTTTGGGGTGATTACCGCATTCGTGGAGAAAGCATAGACCACTTAATTTAAATTAGCCCTTCTGGCCTCGCTTGAGATAATGTGTTCTTTTCAATTTTGTAATGGAGAAAGAGGCCAGAAGGGCTAATTTAAATTTAAACAAAAGAATATTAATCCGGCAGCCATTTATGAAAGTGGTCTATGCAGATCGCTGACAAAGAAATTTCACTTCTTTGCCACCCCACCACCCCTCTTTGAGGCAGCATCTAAGGCCTTGACCGAACTTCAGCACTCTCCTAAGTGAACACACCCCTTTAACTCAGTTTCCTCAGATGTTCTTCACTTCCTTTCTCACCAGAAATTGTCCGTCCAACAGCCGGTGTATTTATCCGTATCGAGCTATCAATTACGCAGTTTTTTTTCTGTCACGTCCAATTTTCTTCTTCTTGAAACTCCCCGCGACAATTTCTTGAAGAAACGCTTGACAAGATTCTGTCGAGGGGTTGATTAATTTCTTATTCATGGAATTCAGTTATTCACTCACTAGATCTCTTAATACATCAATCAATTAATTCATAAGTAGCGATTTATCCCTTGATCATCTCCCATCCACATCACTTACGTGCTTCGAACGTACTCGGGTTTAGTGTGGCAAAAAAAAGACTGTTTTATCTCTGGTTCTTAAAGCGCCTTACCTGTAAACAGTTAAACCAGGTTTGTCCTTGCCGAGCCTTTTCTTGGAGTTCTTCCTCAAGATGCTCAACTCTTTCCTTTAGTACGTTTCTGTCGAATAAAATCCTTTCCTGACTATCTTTTAAATCAGCAAGCTTCATGGTCAAAGCATCCCTCACTTCTGTGAGCTCGGAGGCCAGATGGATGTACTCCTCAATACTCTCCAATCGAGATCGTCCATTGTGTTGCAGTTCTTCACTACTTCGGCGAGCTGCTTGCAACATCTCATCCTGTTTCTTAATTTTTTCTTGCAGTTGAATTTCTACCAGTGTGTGCTTGTTGATGTCATTTTGTAGCGATTCTATCTCTTTTCTTAGTTCGCCTATCTTCTTCTCTGTTGTTATCTGTTGAGATTTTTCTTTCGCTTCGAATTCCTTTTGAAGCTTTATCTTCAAGTCGTCCAACTCATGACCATGGTTTGAATTGGTTCGAACCTCTGTCTCGAGTTTGGATCGCAATGAATAATTCTCTTGCTTTAGTTCCTGAAAATAAAAAAAAATGTGCAGAGAACGTTTTTCTTCAAACTAAGTGCTTATTGGAATGAATATTAGCACGGTGTACCTCAAGATTTCCTAACGTTGTTAAGTAGTCGTTGTTCACTTCTTCAAGTTTCCTTTCCAATTCGTGGTTATTTTCGAGCAAATTCTTCCCAATCTCTCCTGCCAACTGTCCATCCTGCTGTAAATGTTCATTTTCTTCTTTCAAACGGATTATTTCTTCTTTAAGAAAATATATTTCGTTATCCATGATCGCAAAAGTACAGCCTTGAGAGCTGATCAAGGAATGTGTACGAGGAATAAATTTCAAATTTCGCTCGGGAAGACATGAAATACGCATACTAAGTCTGTGATTGGCTGTTTCTTTGGTTTCAACCAATCAAATATCCTCATTTGCAATCATGAGCTCAAACTTAAGTCAGCGGAAACTCAAACTAAACCAAAATGGCGTACCAATATGGTGAACAGACCGGGTAAATTGTGAACTTAGAAAGGATGATGTAGTCAACATGAGTATTGCAGAGAGGTTATTCGGGCGGCAAAGTGCTATCACCGGAAAACTACTCGCAAAAACGCTATTCTTGAGGAGATGTCTCACGTCTTTTGGTAATTGTAAGGTTACCGAGTTTCGCACAAGAAGAACATGGTCCAACCTTCCGTACAATTTTCTTGGAAAGAAAACATTCCTGAGCAGCAAGTAAGATAGTGATGATAAAATCGTAAAAGATCTCTGTTGCGTGTAAATGTTGATTTCCCACTGTTGATTAGTTGACCGATGTAAGACCGCCTCAAATTTAATTGTTATATAATGATTTCATACTCTTCTAGAGGCAGTACACTGAATCAGTTTCGGAGAATCTGCAGTGAATCAACAAGCCATGGATTGTCTACCCAGGTAAAAAAAGGATCTATTTAAATGTGTGTCGTATTTTTGTTTACTAATAAACTTCTACTTGTTTACCTGAAGCTATCACGAATAAGATCTCTCCAAGGTGATGACATGTTATGTCTTCTGTAATTTTTTGTCAGGATAAAATTGACATGTCAGACTTTCCAGTGTCAAGAATTAAAAACTTTAGCATTATTGCTCACATTGACCATGGAAAAAGTACCTTGGCTGACAGACTTCTTGAAATGACAGGTATGTAACAATTGTATTGTAATGTTCTGACTATATGAATTAAGTGTTTTGTGTTGTATTACTTTAAAAGCCATAAAAATCTCTGTGCTCAAAATTTTTCTAGAATTTTATCTTGTTGAGGCAAAGAAGCCAACCAGAAGTGAGAAATCTTAATTTAACGCAGTAACGCAAATTAGTTTGCAGTTTTGTGGTTTCCTTACATTGGGATCTCCCATTTGATTGGTGAAAACACAAGAAACATACTAGATATATTTCAGCCGATTTTCTGAGTTTGACAGAAAATCATCTTGAGGTATTGACAGGGACTACCTTTGTTGACATCTTGGATAGTACCTAATGAAAAATTTAAAAAAAAAACCACTTTATTCCCACTTGTTGGTGACACTCACAGGTATGCTTTATCTTAGCAGGTGCATTGCATCCTTATTATTTAATACTTATTTTTGATCCATCAGGCACAATATCAAAAGATAATGTCAACAAGCAAGTGCTGGATAAGCTTCAAGTGGAAAGGGAGAGAGGAATAACGGTTAAAGCTCAGACTGCATCATTATTTTATGATTATGAAGGAGAAACATACCTTTTAAACCTTGTTGATACGCCAGTAAGTGCAAATAAGTTTCTACACCTTAACTCCCCACTTAATTTGTAAATTTAGGGTCCTTTTTGCTAAAACCAGATGGTCTAATCCAGAAATGATGGTTTATCCTAGAAGCCACATCTTACAGAATCTCAGTATTTGTATTCATAGTTATAAGATATGAATAAAGGTATAAGATATGAAGCTTGTTAGTGTATCAAGATAAACTAAGGGAATGATCTCTTCCTGTTTTAGGGCCATGTGGATTTTAGCTATGAAGTGTCCAGATCTTTGGCTGCTTGTCAGGGTGTTATTTTACTGGTTGACTCAGCTCAGGTATTGTCTCAACCTCCTCATTAGCATCTTTAACTTATTCTTCAGGTGCTCTGTAGGAGGCCTCAAGTAGGCTGCATAGTCTTGCTCTTTTAAGGGAAGGGGGTGCAGGGGTTTCATTAATGTTTTCTGCAGGAGGGCAACTGGTTTTCACAGGTGGGCAAAACTCTTTGAACTGAACTTTTTTATGAGATAAACTTTCCTCCAGACCTTCAAATCAGGTGGGCAAAACCGTCCTCACAACCGGTCAATTTGCCCGGTGCCTGGCCCTTAATGAAACCCCTGATGATGGGGGGGGAGGGTTTAGGGGTTTGGGGCACCCCAAATCCCCAAACCCCTAAACCCTCCCCACCCCCCTCCCTTAAAAGAGCCAGGCTACGCAGGCTAGGCCTCAGGTGCCCATTAAGACTGAACTGCTTGATTCCTATGAGTGTTTTAATGATCTAGTAGTTGTAGTTAGTGGAGGCTGATTTGTCAGCTTCTTGAGTATGTACATAGATATGCCTCTCTTGTTATTGATAATGAACTCTCAGAAAATGTTCTGATTATTTTTCTTATCTATGCAGGGTGTCCAGGCACAGACAGTATCTAATTTTTTCCTTGCATTTGATAAGGATTTACATATAATCCCAGTACTCAACAAGGTACTTGATCATAAAAATTAATTATGTCAATATCAAGATTTAACATTTTTGAAGTAATCCTGATTTATTCAAAACGAATGATTTATTCAAAAAGAATTTCCAATTTTTATTCTTTTGAAGATTGATATGAAGACTGCTGATCCTGAGAATGTCTCAAAACAAATGGAAAAATTGTTTGATGTTAAACAGAATGAGATTTTAAGGGTAAGTTAATCAAATAATTTGGATACATCAACAAAGTTGAAATGGTAAATTGGCCACTGTAATGATTACAAAAACTGACGTTTCGAGCATTAGCCCTTTGTTGTAGCGAATGGGGGGGAAGGGCGAAGGGCTGACGCTCGAAACGTCAGCTTTTGTAATCGTTATGGTGGCCAATTTACCATTTCAACTTTGTTGATATATCCAAATTATTTCAATACCCCAACCGACGCAGCCCCAAACAGTTTCTTTAGAAACTATCGGCCTTAAGTTAATCAAATACTGTATAGATTGAGTAGAAAGAGCACAGTCATTTTAAGAAGCCCAGCTCAATTCCCATGATGTGACCAGTCATAACCCCTTAAAGCTGCTACACATTTTGTTGAAAATAAGTTAATGGAATTATTTTGATATTATCTCAAGGTCTCACTTTCTCACTGGTACCTTTGGAGTTAAGGGGTTAATATTTAATCCTTTATGTATTGTAAATGACAAAAGCCTTTGTGTAAGAAGTAATATTGAGGAACATTTGAATTCTGGTTCAGCACTATTTCAGCTATCTTCTGTTAGTAATGTTTTCTCTCATGTACGGTACATGTACCCTAGATCTCTGCAAAAACAGGATTAGGAGTGGAAACTGTGCTGAAAGCAGTTACTGAGAAACTGCCATGGTGAGTTACAAGTAAAGGAAATTATTTCAAATTTCGAAATTAATCATCACCCTTTAAACAAATTGCCACATAAATAGATATTTATTGTGATTAGAGTATCTCAACATAAACTGCTCAGCGAAGCTTAAATGCAACTTTATAAAGTGACAGTGATTTTAATGGTTGTTACTAGTAAGGGTACGAAAGGGTTTTCTTTGTAGTCCTCAAGGTGAGATGTCAGCCCCCTTAAAAGCTCTTCTGTTCGACACATGGTATGATCAGTACAGAGGAGTGATCTGCCTTGTTGCCGTTCTTGATGGATCACTGAAAAAGGGTAGGATCATGTACTTGATACTATTAGATGCAGTATATAACTATATAATTATAAAAGAAATTATAATACTTGATAATTTATGAAGGAAAATCTCTATGGAATAACTGCAGCTCTGGCAAGGCTTAGTACATACCAGTAAAAATAAAAGGTATCAGACTTTTTTCTTTGTTCAGTTATACACGTTGTGCAATTTTTTTGTCAGTTTTTTGAATAGTGTGACTTCAAAAGTGCTTTCTGCTACAACAGAACTGACTTCTTGAGGTGCTGTACCCTTTCCTTCTCATCTTTGCTCATATCTAATCATACAGGAGATGATGTCATGTCTGCCTACACACAACAGAAATATGAAGTCCTGGATATTGGAATAATGCATCCAGGAGAGGTCTCTACTAGCGCCCTGTAAGTTTAATCTTTAACATCAATTTATCTGTTCAGGAGAAAGTTTGCAGAGGGATTGGAAAGCTGAACCTATATGACTTTAGTATATGTCAGAGGTGCCAGTTTCAGTCTTGTGCTATGGTTGTAAATCACTAACTGGTTTCCTCTGTCTGGTGGGATCCAACAGTGGTTTGGTTCATGAGGAATTTTGTCTCATTTGGTTGTGCAGTCTGACTAACTTTTGTTCTGTTGAGGGTAAATGGAGATATATCTTTTGAAGGAAATGAAATCAGTTATGTCCAAACATTCCCTTGTGTCTCATTGATCAAGACTGAAAGTACCGAATGACGTAATTCACTGCTATTGCATGTACTGTATGTGGCTTCACTCACTAAGTGGAGAAGTGCCCTGTAAAAACAGATACTAGCCCATTTCTTAATTACCTTTAGCTTCTTTTTTAAAGCAAGTCCTGGTTTATTATTAATAATAATAATAATAATAACTTTTATTTATATAGCGCTCATATCCTGAGCTCATGGCGCTTTACAACACTGTACGGGGGACTTTTACCAGACTGCTAAGCAGTTTACAATCAATGAGAGGCGAATCTAACAGATGTCCCCTCCCCCAGTTCCCAGTAAACGAGCCAGACCACATCACAGTAATCTTGTGAGTGGGTTCTTTAACGTCCCCTGCCTAACCAAATTAACTAATTAATAGATGCAGGAGACCGGACCTACGGTTTATTCGTCGTTATCCGAGAAGACTAGAATGTCTATCCATTTCTTGATGTTATAGAAAGGTAGCACATTCTCCTCAGTTATTTTAAGACCCTGAGTGTTGGTCCGGCCGGGGCTTGAACCCTTGACCTCGCGCACAACAGTCCGGCGCTTAACCAATTGAGAATGGTTGAGAACCAGGCCTGGTTTTGAAATAGAAGCTAAGGGTAATTTGGAAATGGCCTATTCATATCAACTTGTTTTGCTTCCAGATTTGCAGGTCAAGTAGGATTTGTAGTTTGTGGAATAAGAAACAGCAAAGATGCTCAGATTGGTGATACATTCTTCCATCCTCATGCACCTGTGGAACCACTGCAAGGATTTAAACCCATGAACTCCATGGTACGTTGATTGTGAACATTTCTCATTCTTTCAAATTCAACTCTTTAAGTTACTCTCATTAGGCAAACCTTTCTCATTTTCCTCCATGTGTGTTCTTTTCAGGTGTTTGTTGGTGTATACCCTGTTGATCATGTGTTCTTTTCAGGTGTTTG